CTGGAAATTCTCTGTCAATGTATGATTGTAGCCATTTCTGTATTTCCTTTAGAACAACTTTACTCACTTCAGATATCAAAGAGATTGTCCGATGATTTCCGCATTCCGTTGGGTCACCTCTCTGCAATGGGCACAAGTACGGATCTCTTCCAATCAGTTGGCCAGATAGCTGACTTCCAAATTTCTTGGCAGAGATGAGAGAGTGCCTCCTTGCCGCCTCACTTTCTTAAAAGATTTCAAGTTAGAACTAACTCAATGGCACACAGCAGCAGCAGCAACTTTGGATGAAAAAGTAACTTTCATTTTGTTTAATACCATCAAGTCAGTTCTGACTCATCACAACCCTGTATAGAGTTTCCAAGGGGTAGCCGATGAGCTTGAACCACCAACCTTGTTCAAACCATCTTTGCCATACAACGCATAATCCAGGACTCCAATAATGTAGCTATTAGACTTTAAACCATGAGTCAACCAATTTTTTAACATGCCAAATCTTGCCATACCCATTTATTCATTCATCAATTGTCTATGGTGTGCCAAACAAGAATCATTTACCCAGCAAAGCTCTCAATCAAATACAATGGTATCATAAAAATATTGCAGGATAAACAGATGCTAAGGAACTTTGTCAAAGTCACCCAGTGCTTCAATATATCCTAAAGGGAGTTTTTTGAACTGAGTACCAAAAAGAACGGACAACAATCAGAGACTAACAAACGTGGCAACACCACCTGGAACTCCATTGACAGATGGAAGAGTCCAGAACAGAACAAAACTACAAGAATGAATGAAAGTGAGTCTGGGAGGTCAACCAATGATCAAAACAATTACAATGCAAAAGGAGAGGGAAATAAGGAACAGAGATACAGGTGGTGAGGAGGTCAGGTAAATTTCAGGATAAAATAAACTTAAATGAAGGAAAGTGTTAATAGAATATAGGGTAACCTCAAAATTAATACTACACAACATATCAAGAAAATGAAAATCCAAGAACATGGAAACATGACTCATTAAAAGTATGAAGAAACTGACAAGAAAAGCACAGAAAAACATGAACTCAGCACAGGAAGGCATGCAAAACAAAGAAACCGGCAGCACCACAATAAAACATGTAATTACAGCAATTAACTCATACCTATTGATAATTATTGAAATAAAAATTGAAATCTTTCAAGAAAGTTAAGACAACACTGGAGGCAGTCATCTATGCCCAGAAATTTGGAAGACAACTATCTGGCCAACTGCCGCAATGGAATGCAGAAATCATCGAACAATCTCTTTGATATGCCATACGAGTAAAGTTTTACTAAAGGTAATAGAAACTGCTGCAAGCATTCACTGACAGAACTTCCGGAGGTTCAAGCTGGTCAGAAGAGGATGTAGAATAATGAATACCTTTAGTGATGTCCTATGGATCTTGGCTGAAAGCAGAGAATACTAGAAAGATGTTTACCTGTGCTTTATTGACTATGCAAAGGCTTTCAGTTGTGTGGATCATGACAAGCTATGCACAATGTTGTGAAGTATAAGTATTCTGGAATTGTGCTGAGGATTCTGTACATGGACCGTGGGTAGTTGTTCAAACAGAACATGGGAATACTGAATGGTTTAAAATTAAGAAAGGTGTGCGACAAGGTTGTATTCTTTCACTATACTTATTCAACCTGTATGCTGAGTAAATAATCTGAGAAGCTGGGTTTTATGAAGAAAAACATGACATCAGCATTGGAGGAAGAATCATTAACAACCTGCGATATGCAGATGATACAACCTTGCTTACTGAAAGTTGAGAGGACTTAAAATATTTACTGATGAAGATCAAAGAGCACAGCCTTCAGTGTGGATTGCATTTCAAAATAAAGCAAAAATCCTCACCACTGGACCAATAAACAAGATTCTTAACAATGGAGAAAAGATTAAAGTTGTCAAGGACTTCATTATTGGATCAACTATCAATACTCATGGAAGTAGCAGTCAAGAAAAACGACATACTGCACTAGGCAAATCTGCTGCACAAGACCTTTTTAAAGAGTTGAAGAACAAAGGTATCAGCTTGAAGACCAAGGTACATCTGACCCAAGCCATAGTATTTTCAATAACCTCATATGCATACAAAAACTGGACAGTGAATAAGGAAGACTGTAGAAGAATTGATGCATTTGATTTATAGTGTTGGAGGAAGAATACTGAAAGTGACATGGGCTGCCAAAAGATCCAACAGGTCTGTATTGAAAGAAGTGCAGCCAGAATATTCCTTGGAGGCCAAGTTGGCCTAACTTCGTCTCTCCTACATTGGACATATTGTCAGGAGGGACCAGTGGATGGAGAAGAATATCAATGTTTGTTAAGGTGGAGGGTCAGAGAAAAAGGGGAAGACCACCAACGAGCTGGATTGGCAAAGTGGCAGCATCAATGGGCTCAAATGTAGCAACATTTTTGAGGTTGGCCCAGGACCAGGTAGTGTTTCACTCTGTTGTGCATTAGGCCACTATGAGTTGGTACGGATTCAATGGCACCTACACAACATGGATAATTACACTGAATGTCAATGGATTAAATGCACCAGTCAAGAGACACAGTGGCAGAATGAATAAGAAATCAAGATCGTTCAATATGCTGTTTGCTAAAGACACACCTTACACACAAAGACAAAAACAGATTAAAAGTTAAAGGATGGAAAAAAATATATACCAAGCTAATTGCAATCAAAAACGACTGGGGCGGGGGGGGGAGGTGGGACACAAGCCAAAATGCCAATACTTGTGGTCGTCATGTGCCGTGAAGTCGGTTCCGACTCATAGTGACCTTGTACGGGGTTTTTGAGTCTATAAATGTTTGAGGGAGTACAAACCCTCATAGTCCCATGGAACAGCTTGTAGTTTCAAACTGCTGACCTTAAGGTTCTCAGCCTGATTCGTAACCACTGCACTACCACAGCTCCTTAGTGACAATACTAACCTCTGATAAACTTTATGGCAAATAACAGCATAAAAGATAAAGAACGACATTATCACATGATTAAAGAGTCAATTGAACAAGATGATAAAATCACAATAAATAAATATGGTCTCAACAAAAGAGCCCCAAAAGATATAAAGCAAACCCCTAATAGAACGGAAGAAAGAAACAGACAAATCTACAGATAGTAGGGATTTGAATACACCACTTTCAAAAAAAGATAGTGCATCCAGAAAGAAACTCGACAAAGACTCAGGAATAAAACACAACCATGGAACATTCTCCAGAATAGACCATATGTTAGGCCACAAAACAAGACTCTATAAATTTACAAACATCAAAATACTACAAAATATCTTCTCAAATTACAATGCTATATAATTAGGAACTCTCTATGATGACTTGAGTAACACAATTGAGTAGCTGTGACTAATTGTATGGCTTTTTTTTTTTTTTAACTTTTGTCTTAATTATCCACAAGTGAGTGGCATTAGCAATCAAATTGATTGTCTCACACTTTAGGAGATTGATGTTAGGTGCCATTGAGTATGGTCCTACTCACAGCAACCCCAACATAATGAAACATCGCTTGATCCTGTGCCATTCTCACATTAGTTGTTAGTTTGAGCCCATAGTTGCAGCTACTGAGTAAATCCATGTAATTGAGGGTCTTCCTCTCATTCACTGACCCTCCATTTTATCAAGCATGATGTCCTCCAGGGACTACTCTCTGGACACATGTCCAAAGTACAAGAGTTGTTTCTCAGGAGCAAATCATCTCTATTTCTCTCAAACAGATTTTTTCCTTCTTGTGGCAGTCTATAGTATGCTCAATATTCTTCATCAACACTATAATGCAAAAGCATCAATTCCTCTCCACTATTCCTTGTTCCAGAACTTGCAGGAAAGAGAGCAGTCTGTTAAGTCGGGAGCCAATAATCATAGAGTTAACTGCCAAACTACTGGGAGTCCCAGCCCAATCAATTTGACACAGAACCTTACCTATCACATTAAGCATGCATATGTTGTTGTTGTTAAGTACCATGGAGTTGGCTCAAACTCATAATGACCTTGCTCAGGGTTACATGAGGCAACTGAAAATATTATGTCTTGGGTCAGGCACACCTTAGTCTTCAAAGAGACACCCTTACTCTATAACACTTAAAAGATATTTTCCAGGAGATAGTAGCATAGTGGTTATGAATCGGGCTGCTAACCTCAAGGTTGTCAGTTTGAAACTATCAGCCATTCCGCGGGAGAAAGATGAGGCTTTCTGCTCCCATAAAGATTTAAGGCCTCAGAAACCCTGTGCAGGCTCACTATGAGTTGGAACCGACTCCATGGTACTTCACAACAACAATTCCCAACGTAATATGTCGTTGAATGTTCTGACTGCTATTTCCTTGAGTATTGATTGTGGATCCAAATAAAGTGAAATCCTGACAATTTCGATCTCTTCTCTGTTTTTCATGTTATTTATTGAAGATTTTTGGTTTTCTTTACATTTAAGTATATTCCATAGTCAAGGCTGTATTCTTTCATCTTCCAACAAGCATGTAGTTGTATTATCTATATATCACAGGCTGTTAAGGAGCTTTCCTCCAATCCTAATGCCATGTTTTGCTTCATATCATCTGACTTTTTGTATTTGCTTAGCATTCAAATTAAATAAGCCTGGTGAAAGATTCACACCTGATTTTAAACCACTCAGTCTCCCCTTGTTTTGTTCTAACTACTGCCTCTTAACTATGTACAGGTTC